GAGGAGGAGGAGGAGGAGGAGGAGGAGGAGGAGGAGATAGCAGTGGAAGAAGAGGAGGACAAGGCTGTAGAGGAGGAGCCGGAGGTGGAGGTGGAAGAGGACGAGGATGTGGCAGAGGTGGTGGCAGAGGAGCAGAGTCCAGCGTCGGGGACCCAGGAGCACCTTAGCCTTGGTGGTGACACCAAGTCCCCAGTTCTTCAGGAAGAGGGTAAGAGAAAGGAGCTGGCCCTTGGGGGCTTGGGTGGGCAGGCTGGGAGCACTCTGGCCTGAGGGGGTGGAGCTGAAGCTGGAGCATCGGGGCGGGGTTTCTGACATGAGGGAGTAGCCAGTAGTCCCGACCCTGCTCGCTGGAGGGGTGGAAGTGGTCCAGGCCATGAGGCCCGATGGTAAAGGCAGCTGGCCCCTGAGAGAGCTTTCCCCTCAGCCCTGCAGGCCTCCCGGGTTCCAACCACACCTGGGGATGAGGACCTGGATGAGGACGAGGAGGACGAGGACGAGGACGAGGATGACGATTCCTTGACAGCTGGGTCTCAGGTGAGCTGCCCTCTCATTTGGAGCTCAGTTAACTAGGCAGGGTTTCCCCAGGAGGGCTTGGCACCTGCTGTTCTGGAGACTCCTGTAGGCGGGGCAGTGGCACTTGATCCTCAGGCTGAGCCCAGGCTGTGAGCTGGGATGGGGCTGCAGGAAGTGGCTGGGCATCTCTAGTCCCAAGCCCAGGGAATTTGGTTCCACTCTTCTGGGGCCCATCCCTTCCTAGGCCATTGGAATGTCCTGATTGTGTTCACCACCTCCCCCTCACCTGTATGTGCACACTTTCTTTAGAGGCCTGGCTCCCCACTGGGGTCAGGCTGTGCCCCTTATCTGGAGGTCCCCGTCCAGGCTCTGGTTTCCTGCTGAGCCCAGTCAGATTGGGCACCAGTGCCCACACTCGGTTTAGTTGGTGCCACTTGTCCACCCAGGCATGGGTCCTCACACTGCTGACGTGACCACTGGCTTGAGCCAGACAGTGAAGTAGGAGTGGGTCGAGGTGGCCACGCAGCATGGCTGTAGGGGCTTGGGCTTTGTTGTCTCCTGACCTCATTGTGAGTCCTGGCTCTGCCCGCTATGAGCTGGGCGTTCGCCCTCTCTGAGCCTGGGTTCCTGGTCTCTGGATGTGAGTGGAGTCCCTGCCTCCTGGGGCTGCGGCAAGGCCCAGAAGCCCCAAGTACAGTCAGGCACTGGTAGGCCTGCCGGTAAGGGGGTGTTGGGCTGAGTCCCCAGGAGCTCCACGTTGCAGGGCCTTGGTTAGTCCCCATTGAAGCATCTACGTTGCTCTCTTCCCTCTCGCCTGGGGCAGCTTGAGGCAGTGGCCAGGCTTCTTTGTTTTCCAGGGGCTGGTGACTTTTGAAGATGTGGCTGTGTACTTTACCCTGGAGGAGTGGGAAAGGCTGGACGCAGACCAGCGGGACCTCTACAAGGAAGTCATGCAGGAGAACTATGGGATCCTGGTGTCCTTGGGTAAGCAGGGGCCCTTTTGTCCCCAAGCGTCATCCTGGTGTGATGGCTGCCAGGGGCTTAGCTGTCTGAGAGGGTGGCTTCTGGAGCCCCAGGGTCTTGGAGAAGGGGGTGCTGGAGCCAGCCCACATGCCAGGGAAGCTCTCAGGACCATCCTCACAGCCCAGCAGCACTGTGAGCCAGGTGGACACGTTCTGGGGAGCTGCCAGTCCAGTTGTGCTGTACACTCCCCAGAAGCCTCGAGGGGTGAGGAGTCAGGTGGCAAAGGAGAGGGGTGGGCACCCTGCAGATGAAGCATGTGGAAGGGCTTAGCAGGAGAGCTGGGGGCATCAGGGCAAGGCTCTGGAGAGAAGGGAATGTGGAATCCCCAGAGCGGAGGCAGGGAGGAGTGGAGGGCTGGTCCTGGAGAGGATGGAGAAGAGGGGAGAGGGACTGAAGAGCCAGTGGTGGCAGCGCTGTGTGGGGCCAGGGCAGAGCCTGCCAAGAGCAGCCCTGCAGCTGCGCTCTGCTTTTCTCCTGGGCAGGATACCCAATCCCCAAGCCAGACCTGATCTTCCGGCTGGAACAAGGAGAGGAACCGTGGGTGCCGGATAGCCCCCGTCCTGAGGAGGGAGACATTGTCACTGGAGTCTACACAGGTGAGCAGGAGACGGAATCCCATGGGCTTTCTGCCAACACAGCACTTCGGAGACTTTGGCCTTCACCTGAACTCTCTGCTGTGGTGTTGGTGGTCTGGGTTGTGGGCTGGGCTCTGTGGAGACAGAGCGGCCACTGTGGGCTATCTTCTGCCTTGGTGGGTTGGCTCCTCTTGGTTCCAGTCTGTGGAGTCCCAAGGGTCAGAAGTCCTTAGAGAACCTACAGGTTCTTCTTAGGAGCCTTTAAAAATGATCCTTTGTCCCTGCCTTAGAGCCTCTGAATGTTTTTTTGGTGAGTGAAGGCCAGTTGTTGGCTCAGAGGGCTAGGTACCGGGGCCGAGCAGACTGTTGGTGCTGGGGGCGCTGGAGCCGGCCTTTCCGGTTCCCAGACTTGAGCCGGTCCTCTGGCTTCTCCACCCATTTAGCCATCTCTGAACAAAGGGTCCCCCTCAGCCTTCTCTCCTGTCCTTGGAAGGCCTGGGGGCAGGCCTCTGGCCTGGGTGGGCAGCTCTGGGTCTTTTGGAGAGGAGATCGTGGAGAAATGTGTACAGGAAATGTTCAGGGTGGCAGATTGCTCTGGAGACCTCAGACCTGGCTCTGTTCCTCCAACTCTCTGAGCCTTACTTTATTCACCTAGACAATAAAGAATTTGAACTAAACTCATAATTTCCAACCTGAGGATGGACTGTTGGTTCTGTGGAGATGCTTCCTGGAGGGCTGAGTTATTCTCAGTGTTCCGGAAGGTGCAGTGGAGGCTCTCGCACAGTAGGTGTATTTGGCTTTGGGCTGGAGTGACTCCAACCCAGTGAGGGGCACTGAATGTCTCATGCCAATCATGTGTCTGGATAAACTGGGAGCAGCTCACAGATGCGTTTTAAAATAAAAATACAGAAAAACACAGACAACGCTGTGCCTGCATGTGTACTCCTCAAAGCATTTTCCTATATGCTTTTTGTCCTCAAAACAACGCTGTGAAATAGCAGGAGAGGGATTATTGGTCTCGCCTTGCAGACGAGGAAGTTGACTTTTGAAGTAGTGATTGGGTGACTCGCCCACTGGGGGCTCAGGCCTCAGGCCTCACTTTCCATCGTGTTGCAGGACGGCCTTCCTGCCCTGAGCTCCACATTCTCTGGGACCCTCTTGGAATCTTTCCTGGGCTTCAGAATTGGGAGGGCTCTGGCTGTCGAGAAATATTGCTGCTGCCTCCAGGATGAGCCTGGCATGTAGGTGACATTTCTCGGAGAGTCTTAGTGGGAGGTGTGTACTCTTTATGGGCACATCTCAGAAGAGCCACCCAGAGGTGAAGGGGCCACAGGCTGGCTTTGGCCAGTGTCTTCTCATGTAGTTAGATGTACCCCCGTTCTCCATGCTTCTTGGAGGGTTCTGGGGGAGAGCCTTTTGCAGGCTGGAGCCTGGGTGGTCCCCCCCATGTGACCTGTGAACCTGGCTGCAGTTTGGCAGCTCCCTGAGGGGACTGGCTAGCTGGGCCCGTGCCCCTCTGCCTTCCCCTGTGGCCAGTCACTGTGCCAGGGATGGTGGGCCTGTGATGCTGCCCCACCCGCCACCCCTGGCCCTGCCCATTTGCAGAGCCTGAGTGGGTGCAGGATCCAGGCATAGTCTCAGATGTGGCACCTGTCTGCTGGGAGGGGATGGAGTAGCAAATGCTGGGGTCAGCACACCGAGCGATGCTATCTACAGTCTTCCTTCTTAACTGTGACTGTGGACTGTTGCTAAGTGCCCCCCCGACTCTTCTCCCTGCATTCGTGTCTGTGTAGCTGAGCCAGCTGAGAATTGGCTCAACTCCCTCCTCCCTGCCAGCTCCTCGCTCAGCCCCCCCTTGGCCCCCACCTCCAGCTCTCTGGCCTGCACTCTCCTGCCTCTTCTGATCGCACCCCTTTCCTGCCATCTTTCTCCTCACCCAGCTTAGAGGGCAGCGTCCCTCCCTCCCTTGCGAATGCTCCCTGTAGTCACCTGGCAGATCCCTGCCCGCACCTGACCACTGTTTCCTGCCCACTCCACACCTACACTGGAGCAGGACACATGGCTGGAGAAGAGCATGCCTGCAGGCTGACCACAGACCCCCAAGGACGCCGTGGCCACCATGGCCTGGTAGTCTGGCCTTGTTTCCTTGTTGGGTTGGCTTTTCTGCTGAGATGGACTCCCAGGACCCCACATGCCCGTTTCTCTGCTGCCTTCCTGGCTGCTTCGCCACCCGCCCCACTTGTTTACGAGCCCCAGGATGGTCCTGCGTCCTCTTCTGTTCTCTCTCTAGGTGACCCCAGCTGGTGCCGGGGCTTTCAGTGCAATTTATACATACGCTGCTCATCCTCAGCTTCGCTCTCCAGCCCTGACCTTGTCTGTCCGACCATCTGCTTGACATTTCCACTTAGGTATCTGATGGGCATCTCCAAGTGAGCCTGAACCTGAAGTGGCACCACTTCTCCCACCCCGGTCCCCTCCTGCAGTGTCCCCGGCACCTGTGTGGGCCTGGGTGCACACCTGAGTAGTCCTTGTCCCTCTGCCTTCCTCACCCCACCCCGTCCCAGGCTGGCACAAGGCTGCAGGCATGTGGTCGCAGGTGTCTCTGAGCTTCCAGCCACATACCCTCCGGAGGCTTCCTCGTGCCCTTGTGTCTGGGCCTCTCTGCTGTGGTCTTGAGGCCTGCCGCCCCCTTCAGGCTCCTCACTCACCCTTAGCTCCTCAGACAGCCTTTCTCCTCAAGCTCTTGTCTGCCTCAGAGTGTTTGTATCTACTGTTTTCTCTGCCAACAGTTCCCTTGTGAGGCTGGCTTAGCTTTTAGGTCCCCACTTGAGTCATGTGTTCTCTGACCACTGTGACTTCGGGAGCACGCCCTCCCACGTTACTCCAGGACATTCCCTGCATTCACAGCCCTCAGCACTGTCTGAAATGACTCAGCCTAGACATTTCCTGCCTGCCTCCTCCAGCACACTCCATAAGAGCAGGCACTATGTGTTGTCCCCCCTGCACTGTGTCCCAGTGTGGCCTGGCACCCAGCGAGGCCGGCCACTAACCCCCCTCCTTGGCTGCTGTTCCTGCCCTTCACGTAAAAGTGAAAGATAGAAGAGAAATACAACACACAGGATTAAACCGGCTTAAACGTTACACAGGAAGGGATAGAGATAAAGTTTAAAAAGCAATAAAGCGAGAACTAAGGTGAGAGAACCTGGTTGGTGAGCGCAGTCGGCGGTTCTGGAGAGGAGGAACTCAGAGGAATAGCTGTGGAGTGGAGGCACCAGCTGGCCTGGTGCCTGGCGCCCTCATGGGGCCCACACCCCCACCTCCCATGCCTCCCCCAGCAGGTGAAGGCTGTCACCAGCCCGCAGGTGGTGTCTATCTCACACAGCCCATGAGCACCTGGGCTGGGCTTGTCTGCCCACAGGAGAACTCGGGGGGCCTGTCCTTGGTGTGGGCCTTCCCTTCCCTTTGCTATGCCCCAAGGAGACCTTGGTGTCACTGAATTCCCCTTTTCTAGTCTCAGCCAGGGACTGTGCTTAGGTCCTTTCTTGCCTCAGACCCCTGGGCTTGGTGTGGGCAGAAGGGGAAGGAGTGAGCACCCGAGCAGGGAGCCTGGGATTCTTGAGTGCCCAGGGGTGAGGGGCCGCTCAGGTTTCAGAAATGATGGAGGCACAGATGAGGGCGGCAGCGTCCCCTGGCCTGGGAGAGCTTTTGTCTTCCAGAATTGCATGTGAGGGATGAGCCAGCAGTTCTAAGGAAGGGCCCAGCCTCAGCTTCCTGGTTAGTACCTGGTCCTTGGTATCATATCTGTGTGGTACAGATGAGGCGACTGAGGCCAGAGAGGTCACCTTCCAGCCATGGGGGGCAGGCCCTGTGCCTGTCCTCAGGGGAGAAGCACCTCACAGATGTGTCAGCCTGAGGACCATGCAGCTGGAAGACAGATCCCAGTGCAGAAACCTGGCCCTGCTGGAGCCGCCGCCTCCCCTACGCTTGAGCACAGCCTGGGTCACTGAATTCCTACTCAGTGGGAAGGAGCCACCTGCAGCTTTGGGCATGCCACCCTTGTCTACACCCTCCCTTTGTAACTGTCCCCAGGGTGGGGGGAGGGACTCTCCTCAAGCCCACCCGAGTCTCTGTGTCTGGATGGAGGGTCAGGAGCAGGTGTTGAGTCATGTGACCAACTTCCAGGACCTCCGCTTGTGGCCTGGGCCTAGCAGGGATGGGTTGAGTCAGGGCAGACCCGCAGCTGACTCCGTGTGGGGCCCAGGGCAGGTCTCCAGTTCCCAGACAGGGGCAGAGGTGCTTGGGGGTGGGAGTTGTAGGAAACCGCCGGGTTCTCAGGGTGGTGCATGTAGGGCGTGCTGAGCGGCCCTCAGTCTGCTTCCCAGCAGCTCAGGGACACAGGTGCACAGGCGTGTGGCCTCAGGACCCTCATCTTCCCCACTGCCCTTTTATTTAGTGTCCCAATAGGGCACTTCCTTGAAGTGCCTGGTGGGCTCTGCTCCGAGGCCACTGGTCAGCCCCCAGGAGTGTCATCAGGCCTCAGCGCTGGTCTCCAGGCCCAGCTAATCATCACTCAGGGTCAGAGTCCTTGGGAGCAAATGTCTCAGGGAGATGAAATGCCAGCTCCCATTCCCCAGGGTCCATGTCTCTACTCTCTCAGAGTTCTGGAAGCAGCAGCAGCGTTTGACCCCCTGGGCCACTGTTAAGAAACGACACTCCCCGCCCCCACCCCCCCGGCTCCCCATCAGTATCCTCTCTGCCCTCTTACTAAGTAAACCTATGAATCCTCACTTAGATCTAAAACAGGTTTGGATCTGAGAGCCAGCAAACTCCCTGGGAACCCTGTCCCCATTGCAGCCTGGAGTAACCCTTACAGTGGACACCCCAACTCCAGGGCCCAGACCTCCAGACCTTGGGCCACTTTTGTGGCAGAAGACGAGAGAACAGAGCCTGGCCTCGGGGCAGGCTGGTCTCCCTCTGGGTCCCCTCCGGTGGCCCTGCTGCTTCCCGAGGTCTTGTCTCGGGGTGCGGCCAGCTCTGACTGCCTAGGGACCTGATGTCCTTACTCTCCCTTGCTTGGTGTCAGCGGTGGTCTCCACCACCTTGCTGTATGTACAGTATTTTCTCATTCTTGGACAAGCGGCCATGCCAGCTCCAGTGCTAGTGATGAGGTCTCCCAGGTCCCCTCCCAGGATTGGCCTCGTCTGCAGAGCACACGGTTGCTCAGAGGCTGGGGGTGGGGGCAGGGTGAGGGCTCACCTCCCCCCGAAGGGGGCTTTCCGCTGCCCTCAGACCCCAAAGAAGAGGTGTTGTGGGTGAGTCACTGGGGCCTGGCCCCCCTCCCAGCTCTGAGTAGCTGAAATTGCTTGTGGCAGGCCCCCAGTTGATCTGAGTGTCCTCCTCTTATCCAGCAAGTGCTCACTGACCCCTGGCTAGGTCCTGGGAGCACACTCACTGCACTAAGACCTCGTACTTGTTCCTCAGCTTGAATTCCCCTGCCTTAGGGGGTCTCTAATTAAAACTACTCAATCCCCTCACCAGAGTCTAGAGGTGAAATCTTTTTTGAGACTCACTGAAAGAACTCCCAGCTGATCTGACCATCGGCCCAAACTACCTGTCCCTCCACCATCCCCACCCCACCGCTTAGGGGCGCTCCAGCCTGCACATGAGGAGGAGCTGGGCCTTCTCTGTGTTCCAGGGGCCCAGTGCTTCACGTCACTCACTCATGGTCGTGGGTGGCAGCTGTCGGTAAGTTCAGTTTAGTACTAGGAAACTTTTGTCTTTTATTTAAAGCTTATTTTTACTATAATAGTATAATATCACTAACTGTAGAAAACAGGAAGTATTGCAAAGTATGAAAAAATAAAATAACCCATTTTTGTATGCGATACATGTTTTTTTCAAGCTGAAATCATGCCTGTGTGGTTCTGCATCTGGCTTTGTTTCACTCAGCACTGTGCTGAGTTTTCCCGTGTGACCGTATCACCACAGATGTAGATGTGCCACAGAGAACCCAGGACAAGGGCTGAGCCAGGACGGGCAGCCTTCCGGGGCCCTGACCATCCCTCAGGGGCAAGACTCAGTAATCCAGAGTCACCTGCTAGGTCATGCTGACACCAGCCACAGCCTTGGTGGTGGACATGGTCGGGGTAGGAGAGGGGATTTCTACTCGTGTTGTTGGAACTGAACCTTCCAGATGCTGGTTTTCTGAGGTAGGCATACCTCAGAAGGGGCAAAGAGTTTGTGAGAAGGCAGGCACGTGGGTGCTTTGGAGCAGCTGGGGCCGGCGTGGGCCGGGTGCTCTCCCTTCTCTTCCTGTGTGACTCAGTGTCTGCTCCATAAATATTAGTTTCCTCCTGAGTGTGTGGTGATGGCAGGCATGTCGGCACTCCATTTTATAAACTAGGAGTCCTCCAGACCTGACTCTATATCCATGTTCTGTGCTGAAGGGTGAGTGGGGTGCAGCTTGGTAGAGGAGGGCCAGAAGTGCAGGACCTCGGGGGGGTCCTTGGCCTTTTGTGATGGGAAGGTGCTGGCAGCTCACCCAGTCTTAGCCGACTTAGCACTGTTTCCCAAATGCACAGCCACTCAGAAGCAGCCAAGCTTCAGGGCTGCTTAGGAGGGAAGCTGGGGCTGTGCCTGCACAGTTGCTGGAGCCTCTCAGGGTGAGTGCAGAGAGGTGGGGCCCACTAGGTCACCCTGGCCCAGGGCAGCCTTTCCTGGTTCTGCTCTGGGGGTGGGATGGAGACCCCTGGCTGCTGGCCAGCTGGAGGCTGGTGGAGAAGAACCCAGAAGGGTAGGGATGCTGAGCAAAACTTAGGTGCTGACAAAGGCAGGTCCTCAGCAGGCGGGCGGCAGGCTGTGCTGGTGCTGGAGTGTTGCCTGCCTTGGGCCAAGCAGGCCAGGGAGGTGGAGTTCTGTGGGAGACAAGGGGCTATGGAGAAAACAGCCAAGGAGTCTCCGTCTATTTCTCTGGGCACAGGACCCCTGTTATGGGCTTAGCCCCTGGTTTCACAGGAACCTGCAGGCAAAATCACCCACTTTGTAGAGCCTCCCTGTTTGCTCCGCAGTGGCAAGCCCTGGAGCGAGCTGGAGGTCTAGAAGGGGGATTAGTTAAGGCCGTTGGAGGACAGTGAGTTCAAGAGGTAAAGGAGCCCCAGCCTTCCTGGGGGGGACAGCCATGTGCGCATTTCTCCCGTCTGCAAAGTTCCTCCTAACTGGGGAAGCGGTGGCTTTACTGCCCCGTGTGTGCTGGGGCGTGCACGACCTCTCACTTCCATGGAAAGGAGGCATGTTGTCCACGACCAGATCGAGGCTCCGATCTCATGAGCTTGGGGTCCCACGGAAGCCGCGATTCTTGGGCAGGAGCCTGCAGAGGGCTCCTATCAGCCTCTTCTCACATCTCTTCTGGCCTTCCCTTGTCGCCTTCAGGGGCCTGGTTCTGGACCGACGACATAGAGGACCACGAGGAGGAGGACGACGAGGACTTCCTGGCGGAAGTGGCTGAGGAGGAGAATGAACCCCCCGGGCTGTGGTCCGCAGCCTACGGCGTGGGTGACGTGCCTGGGACGTGGGGCCCCGATGACTCGGATTCAGCGCAGACTCCGGAAGGGTGGGGCCCGGACCCTGGCGGCCTCGGGGTTCTGGCGGAGGGTTCCGAGGAAAAGCCCTTCCTGCCGGGCCGGGAGCCGGGCGCAAACCTGCTGGCACCTTGGGCCTTCCCAGCTGCGGCGGCTGCTCCGGACGGGCGCCCTGAGACCACGTGCGACGTGTGCGGCAAAGTGTTCCCGCACCGGTCCCGGCTGGCCAAGCACCAGCGCTACCACGCGGCCGTGAAGCCCTTCGGCTGCGACGAGTGCGGCAAGGGCTTCGTGTACCGCTCGCACCTGGCCATCCACCAGCGCACGCACACCGGCGAGAAGCCCTTCCCGTGCCCCGACTGCGGCAAGCGCTTCGTCTACAAGTCGCACTTGGTCACGCACCGCCGCATCCACACGGGCGAGCGGCCCTACCGCTGCGCCTTCTGCGGCGCGGGCTTCGGGCGCCGCTCCTACCTGGTCACGCACCAGCGCACGCACACGGGCGAGCGGCCCTACCCGTGCCCGCACTGCGGCCGCAGCTTCAGCCAGAGCTCGGCGCTCGCGCGGCACCAGGCAGTGCACACGGCTGACCGGCCGCACTGCTGCCCCGACTGCGGCCAGGCCTTCCGCCTCCGCGCCGACTTCCAGC